AGAATTTGAAGATACTCCATAATCAACAATACAGATGGTCTGAAAAATGTTCAAGTGCGAGCTACAATAATTAATTACAAAGTGGTGATGGGATAAATAAGCATGGTACAAATGTAATTCATTGCATAATAATAAATTGAGTTAATATGACAATTGATTAAAATGATTCATTGACTTCCAATAAGAATTCTATACATTGATCATGACTCCGTAAAATTTCGAATGATCTTGTTTTGAAATTAGTGTCATGATGATAACGCAGTATTGTTCTGTTATTAATAGGTGTTTTCAGGAAAAGGTATAGATAATACAAAATGACAGAAGAGTGTAACAAATGTGAATGGTGATTCAAAACACAGAGTACGGATTATTTACATTGCAATCACATATTCTGTGAGACATTATAACGTAATGGAGCTGACGCGTTTAAGTAGCATGCACTCAAACTGCACTTACAGTTATCTTCGATAATTTACTTACTCCGATTACTTTCGTTATTCACAAAACAGTATTATTCAAGTCCCAGAGTGTAAAAGGAGATGAGATATCTCGCAGACTGACAGAACGACACCCATCAGCTGACCAACTTGGCACTGAACTTTCTGAGTTTCATCAGCTTTTTTAAATCATTACTATCCTACGTACTCGTAATAATGTGTGCGCGCCATGAATGTGATACGTACCAATACGATATTACTCCGCAGTTATTAGTATCTTATTTTGTCTTTATAAATTGATAAAAGATAGTAGATTAGATATAAATCAAAGGATATTATTTGAAGTGAATTATCAAGGATTGGCAGTTTAAAAAGAAATAGGAATATCTTACGTAATATTTCTTTGTTATGATACAAAATTTAGTGTAATATACATTTTGATTTAGTGCGGCATGTAATAACTTACATAATTAACACAGTGCAATTCGGGTGCGAATTATATAATCTACATTTAACTTAGATAAATTCACATTTAATCGCAATTCAATTGAATTCAGCAGAAATTTATTATAAATAATATGATTCAACTTAAAGTACTTAGATCTAAAAAAAACATGTTTACATTATGCATCGTTCTTTCCAAAGACTGAATTCACACTATACAAGAGTTGGTCTTGTATAAATCATGTAATGTACATATTCAAAAACGCTGACATTTACATGATTATCATATGCTTTATTAGATTATACAGACGAATCATTTACAAAAGCAAATTTATATAAAGGAGCATATACACAATACATTCAGTAAGAAGAATACGTTTCCTAATACAGTGACAAGGTGTAGGTAATAATACAGAAATATTATGAAATCCGTTACACTTTCGCGACACGCAAGTGTACTCCGCCCTTCAGTTGCAGCAAAAAGCTTTTCGGCTCACTTTTATACGGTATCGTGGTATTTTCACAAACTTCCACTTTGTGCTTGTGGAGAATCATTGCGAGACCGAGTTTGCTTTGAAATTGCGCGAAACGTGCACCTGAAAACAAATCAAGATTAGAAAAAAAATAGTTTCTTTACAAAATACGTTTTAATAAAATTGACGATTAATGAAGTATTTTAAATATATCCAACGTGTGATCAAACAAATTACTATATTCTTTATCACAGAGAAACTAATGAGAAACAGTTATGGAGTTCATTTACATATTTTTATTACAATAACAATGAGAGTTTGGGAACGTACCGATACAATTTCTTGGTCCATCGCCGAATGGTAAGTAGCTCATTGGATGTCTCGCAGCAACAGCATCCTCGTTGAATCGTTCAGGGTCGAATTTATCTGGGTCTGGATAGATAGCCGGATCCCTATGGATTCCCATAACCGGTATCATAACCATTTGGTTTTCAGGTATAGTGATTTTGGTTCCCTTGAATGTGTAATTCTCCATCGCTTTTCTGTTTAATACACCCAATACTGGGTATTTTCTCAGTGTCTCTGCAAAATGAAAAGTTCCATTAGATACTTATTTAATGAAAAACGAATTTAGAGAATCAAGCTACATTCTATTTTGCAAATACAACAATTTTCTAAATTTATATTATTTCTTTCTATCGCACAATTATTAACGTTAAAAATGATGATTTTAATTATGGATCTACCTTTGAACACCTTGTCGAGGTACTTCAGTTCTTTCAATTGGTCGTAAGACGAAATTCCATTGTTCTTCGCAAAGTTCTCCGTGATTTCTTCTCTCAGTTTGTTTTGCATATCCTGATTTTGAGCTAATTCGTATAGAGCATGAGACATCGTCGTAGACGAAGTTTCAAACCCAGCAACGAAAAACACAAATGCTTGCGCTGCGAGCAACGCGTCTGTAATTTCTGTAATCACAAATAAAAGTTACTTCATATAATAATTATTAATAAGCCACGCTTCAATTGTCATTTGTAAATCTTCAGACTAACCGATATTATCCATTTTCTCTGGGTGCTCTTTAACTTCCATTAACATGTTAACGAAATCTGGCCTCGAGACATTATGTTCCTTCCTATACTTCATCGTCTCACTGATTAAATTAACGAAAAACGAGTCCACTTCTTTGTTCTGCAGATAGGGACCGAATATCTCATAAAGGCTGGGCCACATTCGTTTGAGGGTGTCCCTAATATAGAATCTAAATGTAGGCTTGAACATCTTCCTTCCCATTTGCCGGAACTCGCTGTTATCATCGTTCAAAGCGTTCATGGTAATTCCAAAAGCGCAGGAGCCGATCACGTCCGTGGTGTATTTCGCGGTCAGGTCGCGCACCTCCACATCCTTCCCGCTCTCCGCGACATAGTCCAAGTATTTCTCCAAGTTCTGTGCGCATTCCTCCAGAAGTGGGAACATCTCTCGCAATTTACCGGAAGTGAAAATCGGGGAGAGGCGGTTGCGCATTAGTCGCCATCGTTTTGGTTCCAACAAGAACAGATGCTCTCCCAGTACTTCTATCTACAAGCAACAATATGAAATGATATTCATTATGATATAAGATATAGAAAATAATATGGGATATAATATTTTTAATGTGATAGGAACAATGATATAAATATAATAATGGTATTTATGTGATATACAAATGATATTCAAATTTTCTTCTACGTGACGAAATACGAATTCAATTATTCTTTATATAAAGAAATCATTTGTTGATGAAATGTCGCACCTTTGGGAAAATCTTGAATCCTCTGTCAGCAAACAATGAGAAATCTCTGATAAGAACATCTTTTATCAAATCCAAATCGTTGATGACCAAAACAGGGCTATTTCCTTCAAATAAACCGAAAACAGTTTCGTTTTTGTACTGTTTGTACCACTCGTGGATCTGATCGCCAAGCGACATTTTTCTTAACGCAACATTCAGAAAATTGCCGACGACGGCGATCGGTTTCGGTCCGATTATGCCCCGATTCTGCCAAAAGGCGAAGGTTGTCGAGTAATAATAGAGAAGTCCTATTAGAACCGCACCCAGGCCCAGTAGTATTTGAAAATACTCCATAATCGCCAATTCAGATGGTCTAAAATATATTCAAGTGCGGGGTACAATAATTAATTAAAAAGTGGTGATGGGATAAATAAGTATGGTACAAATGTAATAAATTCCATAGTAATTAATTTGGTTAACAACGCAATTGATTAAAATGATTCATTCACTTCTGATAAGAATTCTACACATTTACTGCGACTATTTAAAATTTCAAATAATCTTATTTTAAAATTCGTATAATGATGACGAAGCAATTATTAGACGTTGTCAAGTATTTCTTGTTTCGAGTAAACATTATTATCTCTGAATTAATTTATATCGGAGTTATCAAAAGTGATAGCCATGTGATAGTAAAAAGCTATAATCTTCGTGTTATTCAATGTTTCGCAATTGTAGCATTTTACACATTATAATAATAATAATTAATAAAACCAGAAAAGTATGACACAAGAATTGAATACTATACAAGAGTTAGTCTTGTATAAATCATGTAATATCCATTAAACAAAAACGCTGACATTTGCATGATTATTCATATGGTTTATTAAATTATACAGACGAATCATTTACAAAAGCAAATTTATGAAGGAGCATACACACAGTACATTCGGTAATAAGAATTCGTTTCTTAATACAGTTACAAGGTGTTGGTAATAATACAGAAATATTATGAAAACCGTTACACTTTCGCGACACGCAAGTGTACTCCGCCCTTCAACTTGAACACAAAACTGTTCGGGTCACTTTTATACGGTATAGTAGTATTTTCACAAACTTCTACTTTGTGCTTGCGGAGAATCATTGCGAGACCGAGTTTGCTTTGAAATTGCGCGAAACGTGCACCTGAAAACAAATCAAGATTAGAAAGAAAATAGTTTTTTTAGAAAATATGTTTTGATAAAATTGACGATTAATGAAGTATTTTAAATATATCCAACGTGTGATCAAATTATATTCTTTATCACAGAGAAACTAATGAGAAACAGTTATAGAGCTGATTTACATATTTTTATTACAATAACAATGAGAGTTTGGGAACGTACCGATACAATTTCTTGGTCCATCGCCGAATGGCAAGTAGCTCATTGGATGTCTCGCGGCCACAGCATCCTCGTTGAATCGTTCAGGGTCGAATTTATCTGGGTCTGGATAGATAGCCGGATCCCTATGGATTCCCATAACCGGTATCATAACCATTTGGTTTTCAGGTATAGTGATTTTGGTTCCCTTGAATGTGTAATTCTCCATCGCTTTTCTGTTTAATACACCCAATACTGGGTATTTTCTCAGTGTCTCTGCAAAATGAAAAGTTCCATTAGATACTTATTTAATGAAAAACGAATTTAGAGAATCAAGCTACATTCTATTTTGCAAATACAACAATTTTCTAAATTTATATTATTTCTTTCTATCGCACAATTATTAACGTTAAAAATGATGATTTTAATTATGGATCTACCTTTGAACACCTTGTCGAGGTACTTCAGTTCTTTCAATTGGTCGTAAGACGAAATTCCATTGTTCTTCGCAAAGTTCTCCGTGATTTCTTCTCTCAGTTTGTTTTGCATATCCTGATTTTGAGCTAATTCGTATAGAGCATGAGACATCGTCGTAGACGAAGTTTCAAACCCAGCAACGAAAAACACAAATGCTTGCGCTGCGAGCAACGCGTCTGTAATTTCTGTAATCACAAATAAAAGTTACTTCATATAATAATTATTAATAAGCCACGCTTCAATTGTCATTTGTAAATCTTCAGACTAACCGATATTATCCATTTTCTCTGGGTGCTCTTTAACTTCCATTAACATGTTAACGAAATCTGGCCTCGAGACATTATGTTCCTTCCTATACTTCATCGTCTCACTGATTAAATTAACGAAAAACGAGTCCACTTCTTTGTTCTGCAGATAGGGACCGAATATCTCATAAAGGCTGGGCCACATTCGTTTGAGGGTGTCCCTAATATAGAATCTAAATGTAGGCTTGAACATCTTCCTTCCCATTTGCCGGAACTCGCTGTTATCATCGTTCAAAGCGTTCATGGTAATTCCAAAAGCGCAGGAGCCGATCACGTCCGTGGTGTATTTCGCGGTCAGGTCGCGCACCTCCACATCCTTCCCGCTCTCCGCGACATAGTCCAAGTATTTCTCCAAGTTCTGTGCGCATTCCTCCAGAAGTGGGAACATCTCTCGCAATTTACCGGAAGTGAAAATCGGGGAGAGGCGGTTGCGCATTAGTCGCCATCGTTTTGGTTCCAACAAGAACAGATGCTCTCCCAGTACTTCTATCTACAAGCAACAATATGAAATGATATTCATTATGATATAAGATATAGAAAATAATATGGGATATAATATTTTTAATGTGATAGGAACAATGATATAAATATAATAATGGTATTTATGTGATATACAAATGATATTCAAATTTTCTTCTACGTGACGAAATACGAATTCAATTATTCTTTATATAAAGAAATCATTTGTTGATGAAATGTCGCACCTTTGGGAAAATCTTGAATCCTCTGTCAGCAAACAATGAGAAATCTCTGATAAGAACATCTTTTATCAAATCCAAATCGTTGATGACCAAAACAGGGCTATTTCCTTCAAATAAACCGAAAACAGTTTCGTTTTTGTACTGTTTGTACCACTCGTGGATCTGATCGCCAAGCGACATTTTTCTTAACGCAACATTCAGAAAATTGCCGACGACGGCGATCGGTTTCGGTCCGATTATGCCCCGATTCTGCCAAAAGGCGAAGGTTGTCGAGTAATAATAGAGAAGTCCTATTAGAACCGCACCCAGGCCCAGTAGTATTTGAAAATACTCCATAATCGCCAATTCAGATGGTCTAAAATATATTCAAGTGCGGGGTACAATAATTAATTAAAAAGTGGTGATGGGATAAATAAGTATGGTACAAATGTAATAAATTCCATAGTAATTAATTTGGTTAACAACGCAATTGATTAAAATGATTCATTCACTTCTGATAAGAATTCTACACATTTACTGCGACTATTTAAAATTTCAAATAATCTTATTTTAAAATTCGTATAATGATGACGAAGCAATTATTAGACGTTGTCAAGTATTTCTTGTTTCGAGTAAACATTATTATCTCTGAATTAATTTATATCGGAGTTATCAAAAGTGATAGCCATGTGATAGTAAAAAGCTATAATCTTCGTGTTATTCAATGTTTCGCAATTGTAGCATTTTACACATTATAATAATAATAATTAATAAAACCAGAAAAGTATGACACAAGAGATTGCAATTGTGGAATTGTTCTTATTTAATTATTGTCGCAAAACGGTTTTACGTATTCATTATTGTGACCGTTATTAATTCAAGAATGCAATACATTAAATAAAAGAGAAATTAAATTAAATGTCATTTTGTAAAAGAACAATAAGTACAAATTGTTGACAGAATTCCACTGTATGTTTACACAGATTGTGCAGCTTTACGTTCGTAGATTTTGTAATGAATGAGAAACATGCAGCGTCATTTAAAAACAAGGTAAGCAGTTGATGTTTTGTGAAGTCTAGAGAAAACTTAATTGGACATTAAATACTATCGACATTATTGCGAATGAATAAAATTAGATAATTCAAACTGAGAAACGCATAATAAATGAAATAATGATTCAAGACACAGAGTACGAATTATTATTCTGTGGGACATTATGTTCATTATATTCTGAGACATACTTATAACGCAATGAAGTTAATGCATTTAAGGAGGTTCTACCGATACATAGCTAGTCAAAGCTGTACTGCTGTCTGATAGCTAGCGGCGTGTACTTGACTTCCGTAGTCCGACTCGAAAATTTGACAACACCGCGCTGTATGTTATTATACGTATACTCTGTATTGTGACTGACTGCTGAGCTGAGTGAGAGAGATAGCGTATGCCCGAGTATGCGTCTACGGAGTGCGACGTAGTCAAATCTTCTGAAGTTCAATCCTCGATGAAAATCATACTCTCTTATTTATTTTTAATAATTGTTCTAAGCTCTGAACTACATTCTTCGAAGCAGCTATATCTTCTTTATTTACTTCTCTATCACTACAAATTTTTTCAAAGTAATCTCAATGTTTGTTCATTAGATATTACGAAAATAACGTGTCTTTCCATAAGAGTCAATGTAAAAATTGGAAAAGTGTAATAATTTATTTCTCAGTTTTGGAGCTCTGAAACTTCACCAAAATTTGACTGTACCTTTATGAAGGTATTATTGACGAGTGTGTAAATTTACATCAACTTCTGAATGTTTAATCCATTAGCGGTAGAACCTCCTTAAGTAGCACACACGCAGACATTTACGGTCGATAATTCACTTACCTGTATTACTTTCGTTTTCATGAAAAAGTATTATTCAAGTCCCACTGTGAAACAGAGGATGAGGTCGCACTATCTCGGAGACTGACAGATTACTGACGACGGCAGTCGACTGCCCAAGCCGACACTGAACTTTCTAATAAGTTACGTCAAGGTTTGAATCATTACCACGTGATGTTATCATCAGAATGTGTATGTTCGCAATGAACCTGAGATACGCGCAACAATATGATGTTATTCAGCAATTATTAAGAGCTATATTAAGATGTGCAACTTACAAATTGGAAAAAACAGTAGATTAGAGATAAAGCAAAGGAAAATCAATTAGTATCATCTAAGGTGAATTATCGAAGAATGGGAACTGAAAGAAAAGACAATAAAATCGTACGTGATATTTTTTTATTATCATACAAAATGCATTGATGCATACAAAATTTAGTATAATATACATTTTTATTTAATAATTAATATTGTAATAACTTACATAATTAACACAGCGCAATTCGGGTGGGAATTATATAATCTAATTTAACATAAATAAATTCATATTTAATCACAATTCGATTGAATTCTATAGAAAATTGTTAGAATTTATGAAATACAATTTAAAGTAGATGTACAAAAAATATCCACTTTATATTTCAATGTCCAACCCAAAGTTTTGCTTTCCCTGTCCTTCACCTTAAGACCCAGCTCGATTCCCTTCCCAAATGGATTAATTGAGATTTATTAACGCCAAAGAAATTGCTCTTGCTCCCCCTATGAAAATCTGCACCTCATAAAATTTAATTTGTGACTTAAATTTAATTGTTTTTAAATTTGTGTAACATTATTATTTACGAAGCTCGAGGACGTAATCAGTTTTCATCTTTGGTCACTTTTAAGTACAGCCCACCCTTTGGTATCGTCACAAATGCCACTTTGTCTTGTTCATAGGGAATCATGGTCTTCTCGCACACGTCCATCTTATGATTACACAAAATTTTAATCAGGCCGATCTTCGTTTGATAAACCGCAAAACGGGCACCTAGAACAATTAATTTAGTACATAATAAATAACTGTAAAATTGTATTATTCAGAAATTCAGAATTTTCTAAACAACCATCATATTTTTCTGTTATATATAATAAATGTTTATTATATATGTATTCTTATTGGTTTAATCACTAGACTGAATACGAAGTCAGACAGATATTCTTACCAATACAATTTCTGGGTCCATCGCCAAACGGCAAATACTGCATAGGGTGTCTACTTCTCACGTTATCATCGCTGAACCTTTCGGGATTGTACTTCTCCGGATCTGGGTAGGTAGCGGGGTTCATGTGGAGAGTGTAAACGGGAATCCATACCTTACCACCTTTAGGAAGCGTCACTTTCGTCCCCTCGAACGTGTACTCCTCTGTCGTTTCTCTGGTTAGAACAGCCAGTGGCGGGTATTTCCTCAACGTTTCTATAAATCCATTTTAATGAGATATTATTAACAGAACACAATGATTCATAAGTGGACAATTTAGAAAATGCAATCCACATAATAAAATGCATTTCATTTTTTATAATCTGTATTTATATTTTGCGATGTTTTTATTAATAATAATACAAAAATTAAAAAAAACATCCGTGCTAACGAAGAATACACATTTGTACATTGGATAAAGAATATTATGTTTGTAATATATGTACCTTTAAATACTTGGTCTAAATACGACATTTGTTTAATCGTCTCATATCTCCATTCTCCGTCATTCTTGGCATTGAATTCTTTAATTTCCGCCTTCAGCTTCTTCTGTACTTCTTGATTCAACGCTAATTCATAAAGAGTATTGGCAATCGTTGTCGATGAGGTCTCGAAGCCAGCAGCGAAAAATACGAAAGCTTGAGCTGCCAGTAAAGTGTCGGTCAATTCTGAAAGTAGTAATCATCTTATATGTACATTGATCTGCATATCAATTATGTTTCAACCTCGTTAAATCTAAAAAAAGAACGATTTTCTAATGTACTTACTTAGGTCACCAACCTTCTCTTTCTTCTGAAGCTCGAGGAGCACATTCATAAAATCGGGCCTGACAATGTTATTAGTCTTCCTGTATTCCATCGTGTCCTTGGTGACTCTAGCGATGAACTTTGTCACTTCGTCGTAGGGTAGGAAGTATCCCAGAAAATCGTACAATCCCGACATGCACTCCTTCATGCGAAATTTAATGATCGCCTTCCAGTGAGTCGCGAATATCTCCTTGCCCATTCTGCGGAAGTCGCTCTCGTTTTCTGATAACGAGTTCATGTCAATGCCGAAGGCGCAGCTGCCGATCACGTCAGTGGTATACCTGGCAGCGAGCTCTCTGACTTCTATCGGCTTCTCTTGGGCCACCAGAGTGGCCAGGTACTTCTCCAGGTTCTTGGTGCAGTCCAAGATCAAGGAGAACGTACCCTTTAGTTTGCCAGACGTGAACACTGGAGATAGATGAGTTCTTAGGGGTCGCCATCTCTCCACTTCTAGACTGAACAGGTGTTGGGACAGTGGCTCTGCCTAAAATTCGAGATGAATCGACCAGGAAATGAATATATTATCTACTAATAATTAACTAAGTGCCAACACCTAATGAATACAACTGTTAATCTCAATCACTTACGATTTCATTCTTCATGAACCCTCGATTTGCGAATTTAGCGAAATCCTTAATTAGCACGTTCTTGATTAATTCCGGATCTTGAACAATGAGCACTGGCGTGCGTCTGACGAATATTCCGATCATCGGCTCGTCTTTATACTTCCAGTAAAGTCGTTGCACGAAGTCGCCCAGCGATTCTTTCCCGACCATAATTTGAAATACATTCCCGATGATGGGCGTCGGTTCAGGCCCGGGGACTCCGCAGGTTTTCCAAAACTTGAAATGCGCCGTGAAGTAGTAGTACAAGACCAAAGTCAGAATCGCAAGGCCGGAGAAGATCTCGAAAGTCAACGCCATTCTTTCTGCTCTGAGATCGTTGCCGATTTTTTAAGACACAGCGATCACCTGTGACGTGTACAAATAATCCTTGGTTAATAATAATTTCACAGTGTGTTATCAAATATACAGGCAATTATTTTATTGTTAGGTGGATAGTTTCGATGTACAGAAATTTTCTAAATAACATGAATAACAAAAACTGTGGTAATTGGCTTATAAGTAAAATAATATTAATGTTATTGATCAATCAGGATGTCGAGGTTTTATAGGCAGTAAAAATTTTTCGTGTCCAGTTAAAAATAAATTGTCAATAGAACTTGAGAGTTCAGTCGTAAGATCGAAACATTCGTCTAGGGGACAGTAGATGGTTATAATTAGTTCGAATTTCGATCGAATAGAATGAATAGAAAACGAATAAAATGCATTAACATTAACTAAATGCAGAATGATTAGAGTTTCTCTTCTGAGGTTCGAATTAAGTGAAAGTAATGTCACTAAGGTTTGCATTGTCATCAAATTATCTACTAAGAACAAAGCCAAAGAAGATTTTGCTTACGAGCACTATAAATGATACTCTGTTACTATTAATTATATGATTGTGTAACTACAAGAGGAAAATTTTAATTAAAATTACATAATGTCAAGTGTTTAATAACGATTTATCATCCATACTGCATGTGTGTAAACTTTTTAACGAAAATGTCGTATCTATTATTATTAATTTATGTCAGAACAAATCGATGAATTCACAATGTGAAGGATAATGTTACTATAAATAATGAATCATTTTACTATTATTAACTTTTGCATAATTAGGTTTCGTTAATGTAATTCATCTTTTTATTCCTAGTAACTAATTGACATGCTACAATATTGATACCGTATAATTTTTCATATATTAATATATGAATAGCCTAATGTTTCCTGTGGTATAAACACTTCCAGCAAAGAATATTTGCATTGCATAAAGTGGTTGAAAATAGACGTGAATTTTGTACATGTATTCGGTGTTTCGCAGTGTATTAATGACATCTGAATGAGAAACGAATTTTTGACGTGCGACGTGAAAAATTGCCATACTGCATGATTCAATGCATCTGAGCTAATAATTTCACGATCAACAGAGAACGTAATTATTATTCTACCTAATTAATTGTAGATTTAAAAAGTTCGATTCTGTTTCTAAAAATTGACCGAAATTCAAATTTGAAATGCAATCAAATGTAGGCTGATTCAATGAAGATGATCATGTGATGAATTAACTGAAAAATGTCTTATGAATTATCTTATTCTCATTCTTGTATTATTAACTAGAAATCGATTGCCTCTAAAAGCTTTCACTCAAACATTAAATATTTTTGTACTATTTGTCAACAGTGCTTCTGGATTCATTACAAATAAAGATAGCTGCTTTATCATGATTACACATGATTGAGATGCACGTGTACGTCGATGTGACCTTGAAAATAATAGTACTAAATATAGTATTAAAAGCTCGTTACATTCTAATATCGATTTTATTTAGTCAAACTTTGGGAATTAAATCACTGCTATTAATTAAACGACTCTTTATTTCTCGCTCACTTAATTCTGCTTGTTTAATTACTAACGTAAGTTTTAATCACGAGAGATACGAGTAATCAATGAATTTTTGTTATCGGCGTTTAAATGGTTATGGATATTTTTTACAGTCGGGGAAACTTTTATACAACGCGGTTTAAAATTCCGACTTCGCAAAACAGAAAATGCATTAAGTCGACGTGTGAAACGCAGATACGTGTTTCGAGAAAAGAAAAAGAAAATTCCACTTAGTACTTCACGATTGGTAAATGAATTAGCCTAAATAAATATCAGTGATAATCAATATTAACATAGTTGTCTCCGTGAGTTTGTACTCGGTAGGTGCGTGCCGTACATAGGAAGTTATTAGAACAGATGCAATAAGACTTATGTAAGATTACGACATGCCTGGTTCTTGATTGAAATATATTAACGTAGGTAGGATCATGTTACATGTATAGGTGTTACACAATATGTACAAAATGAGTATTCAAGATAGAGTAACATACCAAGTTTACAGATTTCGTTTTCCTTTCAATCGTATGAATATAATAGTAATAAATTAATTAAGGTGCTTCAAATAAAAACTGTACGCAACAAATGTATACGAAAAATAATTTAAAACCAGAATCATTACATTTTTGCCACTGGATCAGGAAGAAAAAATGAATCATTTAATTAAAGATCAATTTTAGAATAGAATTTGGATTTATTTGTAACGCTCACTTCAAGTGTTTTTTAAATAATTTATTAGATGATTTTATTCAAAATTCATTAAATAAAAATAAATTACATTTACCTAAAGAGAATAAATTCTTTGGTCCACCTCACAAGCAGAAACATCCGAAGTCTGATAACTAAAGAAATCTTTATCAGTCAGTAAAGGCTGAAGTTCTCGAGTTTACTAACTGGATGTTACAATAGCTACTGGCTAACATATATAAGATCTGTAAGCATGCATATATCATTCAAGAAGAAGGGATGTCGGCTGTGTAAAAATAGATAACTATAAGTAGTAGAATCACGATAATAATAGAACATGAAAAATAATCGGTTTTAAAACAGGACTCGCATGTGAATCATACTATTAACAAAATAAGAAATGATTTCTGTATCGCAATTAGAATTTTAGTATTCACATTATGTACACTTCCTCTAAAAAGTTTGGAGCACCCTACTGTCTGCATTTAACAAATATTTTCACTCGTATGGAGATCTTGACTTAATTGCCCAACAGTAGCACAGTTTTTCAGGTAAATAAAAATAATACAATCTTAACTTTCATACATACTTGCAATAATTGACATTTCTGTGCCACAAAAGAGTAACAATATAAGTGAAATGTTTATTTGCAAGAAAATATAATTGATCATTTTCAAATCCTAATGTGCCTCGAACTTTTGAACGAGAGTATACACGGTAAATAATTTTGGTCTTTGCACTGTTTGCAATATTAAATGCTAAACGAGAAATTAACGTTAAGTATAAATATTTAAATCAGAGGCAAGATATCAGTTTTAATAAACACAGATAAACGTAACTTTTTTGAAGATAACATATTCGATTTAGTTTGACCTACATTTCCGTGGCGAGAAAAATGAAAGAAGAATAAAGTTATGATAGAGCTAAGTGCGATGGAAATTGTGAATGATAACATGACAAGCCACAATTTTTCCAGCAAACAGGAAGTACAATAATAAAAAACAGACATATTTAATCCATTAATAAAAACACGTGCCGTATGTAGCTGTATATACTGTTTTTGCTTCGGTGTAAGATTGCGTCGATGTAAATTGCTGTTCATCGTTACTGTGTAAAAAAGCGGGCTGATAACTAGAAAAAGTTTATCAGAAAGAAAGACGGCAATTATGTAAGAGTGTATATGTAAGAGCTGTATATAGAGTATAAGATACGGTAAACATTGTTGCCGAAGTGGTCAAATGACACGGGAGTCGGCATCCTTTGATTCGGCAGGGCGAAAGACCGGCCGACGAGAAAAGAAGGCAGAGTGAATCGAGAATCGGTCGAGAGACGATCGAGACGTGCACGGCTACGCTTCCGACAAATTCTTTATACAATATTCACATTAAAATCAATATCAAGGTTTATTGCGCGTCATTCTTCGCCCTCAAACCAAGGCCTCCTTACAATTTCAGAAGTGGGATTGTGCTCATATAGAACTTCCGTGTGTGATTGATATTGGTTAATTGAATTGATTTGATAGTGGCCGTGACGTTGAATATTTGTGAAGAACAGTAGTGAAAAGTGTATATTGACTTGACGACAAAATGGTGAATCCTAATGATTTGAAAGTAGTGCAATTAAAAAAGGTATTGCTAAAACGAGGGTTACCCACTTCCGGAACGAAAAACGAGTTAATCGCAAGATTACAAGAAATGGATCCTAGTGGAAGCTGGATAAGGGATGCTAGCTTGCTACCAGAGGAGGATATATTCCAGACCGATAATATAAGTGATGATGTTGCTAATGCGACTGCAAGTGATAGTCATAATCGTCGTGTAAGTAATGACAGGGCGTACGAGTTTGATTTTTTATTACGGGAGAAACAGCTAATGGAAAGAGAGTTGAGACTGCTGCAGCGTGAGAACGAACTTTTAAGAAATTCGCCAAGATCAACTATTTCCGCAACGGAGACGAAAATTGGTATAAAATCCGTCAGTGATTTATTAAGTGATTTCGATGGCCTCAGTGAGCTGTTCTGTAATTGGGAGAAGCAAGTTAGGCTATTACGTACAACCTATAATCTCGATGATAGTGCGACAAAAATTTTAATTGGTACGAGATTGAAAGGGCAAGCGTTAAAGTGGTTTCATTCTCGACCAGAACACATTGAAATGGATACCGATCAATTGCTGGAGGAGATGAAGAAGATGTTTGGAAGAAGGGAAACTAGATTGGTGCTAAGAAAGAAATTCGAGGACAGAGTTTGGAAGACGAATGAATTGTTCAGTGTATACTATCATGAGAAAATTATTCTTGGTAATCATGTTCCTGTGGCAGAAGAGGAGATGATCGACTATATAGTGGAAGGAATTCCGGATAGACAACTCCGAAATCAAGCCAGAATGCAGAATTTTTCAACAACACTGGACTTATTGGCTGCATTTGAAAGTATTACCTTGACGGATGGAAGAAATCGACCACCCCGTGAATCAACAGGAAACAAAGTGGAATCAAGGGAAAGCAGATCGTTGTCTACACCGATTAAGAGCAGCCTTCCCCAGGATGAAAATGCATGGCAGACGAAAGCAAGGTGCTACAACTGCAGCAAGTACGGGCACATCTCTAAGA